TACACGTATTATACTTGTATATGTACATTTATAAACGGACACACGATTAATTAGGCTGCTGTGATCAGTGTTGTGGTCTTGTAATCCTGAGGTTGAGGGTTTGAGCCCAGGTTGCGTCAAGAAGGGCATCCGGCGTAAAACAAATAGTCAAATCTTTCGTGCGAGTTTTCTCGCTGTGGTGACCTCTGAAGAGGTAGCCGCCAGAAGAAACTTGTAAACAGATATATGATTTTGAACTTTCAAAAGAAGATTACACAGAAACAGTGACATCAAACGCTACGGTTCACAGAATCCTCCAGCAACAAGTGATTGATGACGTCTCGTTAGTAACAGTCTTTTCATCATGATCCAGATTCAGGCCACACTGGTCAAACATACATTCTTGTAGTGCTTCCATCATTGTAGCTATTGCAATAAATACAAAAGATAAGGATTCTCTTTTTCACAGTTTTCTGTGGGTTAATAAATTTCAGGCAGCTGGTTGTAGTTCCTGTCCCAGTATCCACCAGAGTACAGCCAGTCCTGAGAGCGGGTGTGAGGGTTTTGTCCTGGCTGAAACCACCTGAAAACAGAGGAGATGCATCAGCTCTTGAACATCAGACAAAGCCAGAGGAACAGAAATCAAGAGCAAGCGCGCTTCATTTCAGTGTCAGGCGGATGCTGTGGTTGTTTGCTTTGAGCCAACATTCATTTGGATTAAGTGGGGGAAGGAAAGACTTAGAGGGAAGACACTGGTAGTTTTTGAATGATTGCATTTCGTACCAGTGAGGGGAGCTGTCATGCCAAAGGAGAAAAAAAAGATTTTTACCAGCTTTGAGTAAAATCTGTGTAAAATGTGACAGGGTTACAGATAAGCTTCCACTGAAAAATCAAGGAGTGTTTGCAAACACTGAGGGTCATATGATCACATCAACCACATCCAGTGTATCAGTCCAACAGCGGCAGCTCTAACCTCGGACCCAGTGGAGGATTCCTTATCATCGCAGCAAGGAGAAGCAGAAAAACAAACACAAACAAGTAAAAACAATGGGAAGTTAAGCTTGAACAGCTCAGCACAGTCAAACTGAAAGAGCACAGATAAGATAACACATGGCAGCACTGGAAGCAACAAGCAGACCTGACCATTTGAAACACAGCACCAGACAGTACTTTTGACCCAGCTGGGCTCCACACACATTCTGTAAACAGCTGCTGAGAGATTTACACTTTTCACCTGCTCTTCCATTCTTCGTCTGCCTTGGAGCGGTTCTTACGAGCAGCTCTCTGCTTTTCCTCGAGCCTCTTCTTCTCCTCACTGGCGAGGTCTGTTGGAGGCATTGCGAGTTTCAGACAGCAGTGGATGTGATTCACCAACAGATTATTCTGCGAACAATCCTTACCAATGTCACCATTTTCCATGGCTTTAATGTCCGGTCTGAGCCTGCAGTCGGTCTGAGGAATAACTCCCTCCATCTCTTTGTGCAGCTCGTTCAGCTGCATAGCAAACGATGTGAAGCTGTACATCTGTTTGTAAAGAAGAATAAGGCTTGTTCAAATGCAGTCATTCTTCTTTTAGGACCACTGGAAGCCCTGACTACATGAGGCTCAGTAGGACCTGGGTGGAGTTGGCTGGTCTGGGTGCAGATCTCCACAGCAGCTGGCTGCCAGGAATCACTTCCACAGTGTCTGCAGCTGGAGAGGGAACTTCATCTTGATTCATACTACAACCCTGAAAAAGAAAAGAAAATACTTGAGCTTTTAGCATTTTGTACTGACCTTTATACAGTTACTCATGCTCAGTCAATATTTTGGGATGCATTGTGGTCCAGATATATTTATTCCTACTTCTGGTTTTTGAAATATACACAATATCTACACATTGTCAGACATGAACAGTGTTCATATTAGAGCTGTCATTTCTAACCCAAGCCCTAAGCCCAGCCCCACCCGACCAGAATTCAGGGCGGGCCGGGCCATGATAAAGTGCTGGATGGGCAGGCCGGGTCAGTGTCAGGCTTTTAATTGGGACAGGATCAGCCGCAATCCAATTATATGATAACATGGCCTGCCATACTTTCACCAGCCGCATGTGGCCATTTCACCACGAGCTGACCGGCCTTGAAAGATGTAAAAAGTTCAGTTAAGCTTCAGATGGGACTGTACTGCCAGGAAGTGATCCATCGCCCAAATGGACGTTCATTCAGTTGCTGCGCTCAGCAGACACGCGCAGCCGACGACCCAAACAGGTGAGATCACAAAGCAGACGTGTGTCAGAGAGCTAGGTGAAGCTGACACCCCACTCACGTCAAAAATTCCAGCCAGAGCTGTCTGCGAGTCTGAGTAATTCAGAAGAATACAGGCAGAAACGGGGTTTAAATGTGCTTTTACGGACATGAAAGGACAAACGCCCCCTCAGCTCTGATCTTCTGCGCCATTCAGCCGGGTGTCTCTGACAGTTAATAACTAATTAACTTTTTTTTCTGGGTTCGAACCTGTAATTATTGTTAATTCATAGGTAGGGTTCGGAAATGATGACTGTGGGCTGGAGCCGGGTCGGATTGGGTTTTTTGGGCCAGAATGCAACTCTAGTTCATATTAGAGCCCGGCCAATATAATGTGTATGTATTGTCATCATTGTACGTTCCCATACAATGGCAAAATTGGCTCTTTGCATTTAACCCATACACCCCCAGGTGGAGCAGTGGGCAACTATTGAAAGTGCCCGGGGAGCAATTGGGGATATGGTGTCCTGCTCAGAGACACCACAAGATGTGCAATGACTGGGGATCAAACCGTTGGTTACGTACTGTAACCCCAGATTCTATGAGTATAAGCGTAGCCCTTTAAGGCCTTCGCTTTAGTGGGTTTATCCCGTTATGCAGAGCATAAGCACTGAAAAAATTAGTCCACGCCCACCTGCTGTGTGGGCCCCACCCGGTCCGTATAAATTACGTTAAGAGCGGGAAATCGGCTCCCAAAATAGCTTTTTTCTTCAGCCATTTAAGAGCCAGTGAGGCCCGACGCTTAAAGGGCTACGCTTATACTCATAGAATCTGGGGTTACAGTACGTAACCAACGTTCTATGTCGTATAAGCTTCGCCCTTTAAGGCCTTCGCTTTAGTGGGTAAAGGGCGAAGCCGATGTGGTCCTCGCCTCACTGGGTCCATTCGAACACAGTTTGACGCGGAAGCTTGCCCAAAAAACGTCTTGTCACTCAGCTCCCCGTGTGCATAACTACGCGTTACGTAATTATGTGCCATGCACAGACGCATGTTGTGTAACTATGCGTTCTGACAAAGCATGAACGCCCCGGAAAACTTTCAACGGGGAGAAGAAGTTGAAAAGAGGGGGGGGGGGGGGGG